CACATTTTGCCATATGATTTCAACACTGTGATAACTCGATGACAGCGACTCTTAATTTGGGAACTTCTGGTTGTTGGTAAAGATGTTAAGTTGGGGTACCCACCAAGAATTTCCAGCTTAATCTCTAATGTTTCCTGTCCAGCACTGTTTTTTGCCACACACTGGTAGGTGCCCTGGTCAGCAAGGCCGACAGATGGGATCCTTAGAGGTGTGGAGTTCTTTTTGCCAACAGGCTGTCCGTTGTGGAACCAGCTGATCTCAGGCCTCGGCTCTCCTTGGACCACACAAGGCAGAGTCACTGTTTGGCCGAGCATGGCTTTTAGGATGGATGGTGCTGGCTGGATTCTGGGTTTGGCTGAGAACACAAAGATATATAGTTAGTAAACTAGAAAAACTCCCTTATTTAAAAATGCATAGATCACATTAAAACAAAAACATTGACAGAGAAGGTCTGAGGTTCAGAAGAGGTTGAATTTAAAAATGAATCTCCATCCAGTTACCTTGAACATGTAAATTGTAGCTTAGGGACACATTCCCTGCTGGGTTATCTGCAGTGCAGGTATATAGTTTACTATCCATCAGCCGCACATCAGTGATCCTCAGAGAGCCTGAAGGCAAAACAGTGAATCTGGGGGACAAATGCAAAGAGGAGATATCATGGGGATTTTATAGAAATAAAAAGCAAGTCATCATTCTGAGGGTTTTTTGAAAATTTCACTTGATTGGACAATGATGACATATGACATATTTTTGATTTAATATGTGTGATATAAACACAATGAATTTTCTATTGCATTTGAAAAACAATAAAATATATTTCATAGTTTTTAAAAGCTCTCTAGTCCAGATATCATTGTATTGATTACCCCATGCACAGATCTGGTTTACTGGTTAGCTCAGGGGTTTGCAACCTTAAAAGTCTACAGAGCCCCTCTGTCCCTCAGTCCAACCAAATAGAATATGGTTGGGGCTACAAATATTCCATAAGCTTTTGAAAAAATTAGAACTTGCACTTATTTTTCAACATCTTATCATTAAATATGTCTTTTTTAAAGAACTGCAATTTAATTATTTTGAATATTCAAATTAAAGATAAGGAAAACTCCTCCAATAGGAAACCTAATGAATTTTACTGGTATTTCAGGTGCATTGTTTTGTGTATATTTAATATAGTTATTTAATAAAAACCTGCATTATTATTATATCCATATCTTAAAAAATAAGTTTGTTTTTATCAGTTTTTTCATAGCTATTCAGCACTACATTATAAAATCCAAAGAACCACTTCAGGTTGTCTTAAATATAACAAGCCCAACAATTAAATGTCTCTGCAATATGAAAATTTAATTTTTGTATTATTTTATTTATCTTAAAAATCCAATAAATTTTCCAGCCGTGGCTTTATTTCTTGGATTGATCTCGCTTTAGCTCCATCGATTGAGCCATAAATTGCAACCAACCTTTGTTCAGTTTCTTATATTTTTTCTTAACAATGAATATTTGTATGAAAACCATGAATGGAAAAAAAAAAACATCCTAAAGAATTCAGTTTGGCTCTTTTTCCTGTCACTTCTTTGGTGTAGAGCAAAAAGTAATCTGTGACAGCTGACAGATGGGCCTAAGGGAAGTCTGGAGTTTAACCACACCATAGTGCACATTTAAAATTGTGCAGAGCAGTTACACTAAAAAGGTAACGGATGCTTAATCCTGATAACATCTCTCCTCGAAAAGGTCAAAGACTTAAAAGATTAATTCATTGTTTCCAGTTGATAACAAAACTTTGTTTTATTTATCACTGAGAGCTGAAATTATACAGACCTTATAAAAGTCAGAAGTTTGGCCAAATGATGATAAAAATGCAAGGTCCCTCAGGTCGCCGTAATCAATGTTTTGTTTCTCAGAGAGCAACGCTGTTTAGGTTGAAACCTCCATTTGTTCTATGGATGTTTGTCCCAGATAAACATCCATGGAAACATCCATAGAATGTGGCAATCGCTAACACTAAACCGTATGTCAAAAAGATGCTTTGTTACTCAAACAGCAGCAGGAGTTAAACATATGTTAAGCTAAATGTACGGCAGCCATGTTTAATGATTTTGTGATAAGATAAATTATATCAGAAGCCGTGCAGCTGTATAACGCCACAATATTCAGGAAAGTAAACATACTCCTGTAATTTATCTTAGATAACTCTGTCTGCTAAGCAACCGAGTTAAAACAATAACACGTTCAGAAAGTGGAGCACAAAGAGCCCTTTATTTCAGAAGGCTGGATGCTGTTATACTTAGACCCCCCCCCCAAAAAAAAAAAAAAAAACACAGCAAGAGAAGCAGTGACATCTACAATCAGAACCAACTGGGCTGTTAGGTCACTTCCTGCTAAGATCGCTGCACTTACGCTCAGCAGCACTCACACCCAGACAAGTTGAGCTGTCTCTGTCTTTCATTCATCACTCCCCCCCATAGCCTTCAACTACCTGGAAACACAATCTCGGTCTAAAACTTACTGGGTAAAATCAGCCTCATCGTCACTGGTTACAAACTGAAAAAACTGCATTTAAAAAGTATTGACACCCCTTCAACAGTTTTGCATTGCGTAATGATCTTTAATATTAATGTACATGTACATGAATTCAACTTTATAGTACAGACAAAAAACAAGCTTTTTAGCTTTTTATATGTGATGTAGTCTAAAAAGAACGAATATGGTTTATTTTATGGGATGTATTTGACTCCAGCCCCTCTGAGTCAATACTCTGCAGGACCATCTTTCCTGTAAGTAAAAAATGTCGTTTATGGTTTGCTCAACTAGCTTTTCATATCTACAGACTGTTTTTGTTTTTTTCTGAAGTAGTCTAAGATTATATGGAAGGCATCTGTGAACAACTTTACCACTTATCCTAGGTTCCTTTAGATTTTAGAGAAGCACAGATCCATTTTTTTTCCCATTTTGGGCTGTGCGTATGGACAGAAATCTGATCTTAATTTCATAAAACTGCTGAATATACAACCCGGACACTTTGCAATGTGAGCATAAATAATATTGTGATAGAAGAAGGTAACAGATTTGCACAGATAACATTCAAAAGTTCTACTTATTAATCAATAAAATAAATTAGGTGCACATTAGCAGCAAAAATAAATAAATAACATTTTCATGTAAAATCCACTAGATATTTTGAATTATAAAATCAGATATAGAAGCTACCTTACTGTAACTGTATTGCTGTGTATGAAGACTGGATCACACTGCTGGATTGATGTCATTCTTCTGGTATCTTATCCAGCCAATTAGTCAATATCAGAGCTGATATCCAACCTAGATATCAGATCAGTGCATCTCTGGTTCATTTTTAAAAATCAACACCCATTAAACCAAATTCCAATTTTTGTAGCTAAGGGGGAAGGTCAATGTTTGCCTCGGTCTCAGGAGCATCTAAAAGATTTTTTTCTAAGACAGTTATGAGTCTATCTTCTCTCCTCCTCTGACCAAATTTTCCCTGTCCACTTTAAAGTAATGCATCCCTGCAGAATGATGTTTCCGAATATTTAAATAATTTGTTCAGGCCTAAAGTCCATTACAATTGCAAATATTACTGTTTCACTGCAAACATATGTGAAATAATGTGAAATTGTTTCCAAAACCCCATCAATTGTTTTTTAATTACAGAGCTACTAAAATAGAAATGGAACGAAAAGGAAACCCACCCCTGCTCTTTCGCTTTATTCATTTCAACAATCAGCGCTTTCTGGTCATTTCCCCAGAGTCCCAAAGTGTTGCTGCAAAGAACAAATCTTTACACGGCCCACTTGTTTCCACAGGTCCCACACATGCAGACCATGGGATGTGGGGGTTGTTCTCACAGATGTGTTATTCTCATCAGAGAGAACGAGTTAAGAGTCAGCATGTTGTTTTACTGCTGAAACACTCCCGGGAATCCCAGCATCAGGCAGACAGGGCTTCATATTCCTCCTCTCTTCCTGGCATCCCCCACTCCACCCCCACTATTTCCTTCTAATTCAGCTCACACAAGTCTTACAGTAACTGAGTCAGAGCGACTCCCGGCACCACAGCCGCTGTCGTGCTCCCATCTACCCTACCCCAGCCTGCATGTCAGACATACACCATATGCTGTCTGTTTATGAGATCTGGTCTATGATCTACCCGATACGTTGATTGGTCAGCCTGTCTGCACCCGAGGTGGAGAATGAAAACAAGGAACCAGGCCGTGTGGAGCCAGATGTTCTCCCTCAGACTGTGGGTGAGGCCTACACACCACTTCTCAGTAGACTGTCACTGCCTCTGCCTGACTCCACTTTCAGGACATCATCAATTAACATATAAACATCAACAGTTCTCTCCAAAGGCAGTTTTACTTTGTAAAATGTCCTTAAAATACTATTTGGCAGAGCTGCTGGCTAGCTGCTTGGGATTACAAAGTAGATGACCTTTGTCATTTTCCTGTTTAATGTGGCTGAATACAGACTGCCAGAGAAAATTATTTTCTTACCCAGCTGTGACGGGCGGGATGGGATACCCATTTCGGCTCCATGTGACTAATGGAGAAGGACTTCCCTGGGCCTCACAGGGGAGAACCACCTCAGTCCCCACTTCTGCAGCCATCTTTATGACATTGTCATGGCCGCTAACGCCCATTATCTTCGGAAGGGCTTAAAAAAAAGAAGAAACAAGTTATGGCAAAATCATAAGATACTCCAGCCCTCTGATACAGCCACAAAATTATCTGTTTTATTGAGATTGTATACTTAAAAGGAGGTAGCCCATCATTCTTGGAAGAATGTCTAAAAGTGAAGGAGGTAATTGTTCTTAAAAGAGCAAATTGCATCTGAATAAATAAATTCAGCTGTGCTTAGAGGTTTCAAATGTTTGTTGAAGAGCAGAGAGAATGTTTAAACAGCACCATTAAACACAGCAGACAGATCAAGGCAAAAGCTAGGCTTAAAAAAAATACATCATCTCACAGAGAACATCCTACAAAGGTAGTACTGTCCACCTGAACTGACAGACCAGGCTAAGAGGTCTAAGGTCTTATTTTTGGAAGAATCCTTTTTGCACTTTTATTGAAGATCATTTCTTGGACATTATTAATGTGCTAAGCTTGGATGAGAAAAGAAGTAAACTCATTAATCAATATATTTAAAAAAAACAAAAACAAGGCCCTGTCACACCTTGACGATTTAGCCAGTGTATGCTAGACATATGAAAAGTCTGGCAAAAACTGCTGGCATACGATGGATGAGTTATGGTACGTTTTGTATAAGATATGAGCCCTCTTACATACACTTGCACACGTCGACATACGGCAAATACGTTGAGAAATTTTGAGCATACTCCTCCAGACTGCATCCCCATCACAGCGTGAGCGAGAAGGCGACTGTGATGGATCCTCCCTGCGTTCACGCCCACAGCAACAACCAACAAAGTTCCTACCAGACATGACGCTGAATCTGCAGTGGGTGCAATCCTTCTTCTTTTCCTTTTTATTTATTTATTTATTTTTTTTAGCAGGCGGTAAACAGTAGCTTGGTTAATACCGCAATTAAAGACATCTTTTTATGTAGGCTGTGCACCTCCAGGCGCATTACTGCCCTCCTCAAGACACTTGCTTGTGAAATTTCATGGGCATTACGCTACCGTGCATTATGCATAAGTTGGACATAGGCTCTGGACTTGTTATTAATACTCTATACGCCAAAAAAAAAAAAAAAAATACAAATATATGCCAGCGTTATAGGAGATTCTGGGAGGTCAGGCATCCTCAGTGGTGGCAGCATCATGCTGTGGGAATACATTTTTCAGCAATGAAAGGGAAGCTGGTCTGAGCTGATGGGGAGATGAATTAAGCTAAATAGAAAAATCAGTTATAGATCAGAAGAAAAACCATTTTGACATACTGTAGCAGAAGATTTTAGACTGTGATGGAGGTTTAACCTTCGTAACTATAAGGGTTAAAACTGAAACATGTCATGTTTTAAAATGGCCCACTCGACTAAAGAGACACATCTAAAATTAGAGCCGAAGGTGTTTTAACAAAGTATTGTTTTACAGGAGGCTAATAGAGATATTATTTATTTACCAAATGTTGTTTTTAACATAAAATCTGAATAAAAACATTGAGTTTGTGGTTGTAATGTGACAAAATGCAAAAAGGATCAGTGGTGTGAAGGCTTATAAGACAATTTGAATTTGTTGTCATGGTATATTTCTTACTATTAACACTGAGCTGGACCTCCCGGCTTGCATAGCCCACAGGACTGCTGGCAGTGCAAATGTAGGTGCCTGCATCCTCTGCAGTGGGGTGGGGGATGTGGAGATATCCATCAGAACCGGGCTGAAAAGAGGAGCCATCCCTTGGAAGAGGCTGTCTTCCCTGGAAGAAAGGCAGGCAGGCGTAACACCCAGACAAATTTCACAGTAAAAGTTAGATGCACACCAGCACAGAGACGCTCCCATCTCAGCCTTTGATGTCAAACGTAATTACAGACCAGCAGTTGAAATGCTCTCTATTTGAAATATACACAGAGAGGTAAGCAGCCAGCTGGGAAAGTACTTGCTTTGAACATAAAAAAAAAAAAAAAATACTTTCACAGACTTGCTTTTACCTGCCCGGAAAAAAAAAAAGATTAATGTAAGCATTGACTCTGAAAACAAAAGGTAGATTTGGTTAAGTATGTGAAAACAGTAGATTGTTGACCTTGCCTGAGTGGTTAAGAGTAGTTTAACGCGAGCTAACATGACTCTTCTTTAGTCTTCATCATTTCCCTGCTCCTCCCTACTTTAGTCGCTACATTCAAGGCTTAGATTTAAACGCGTGACTATGTGCGCCAATGTTTTCTTGCAGAGAAGTAATTTCACTGATTTATCAAACTAATTACTGACAAAGCAAACAGAGGAGTTGGACGTTACGTTCCTTTAATTTGCAAGAAAAATGTGACAAAGTTCATGTTTTGCATCCTGAAGAAAGAAAGAAAAAAACTCCCGTTTCTGCCTGGATGGATAAAAACCTTCTGTGCTTTCTGCGCATGATGAGAGAAGGCTACACGTGAGGTTTTAAATTTCTAAGGTACTTTAAAATCCAGAGTTATTTTCCCCAGCCGAATACCAACAGGGTAGAGTTGCCATGGTTACATCGTCCCTTTTCATACAATCAGGGCTTGATTGCTGCACAAACTATTGTTGTTGGTTTTATGAGTGTTCTAACAGACAAAAGAAAACACACAAAAAAAGGAAAGGGCAAAAAATATAAGACTTATGTTAATGTAATCACAATAAATCACGGTAATTAAAGAGATATTTTTCAATATAATGGCCCTTGAACATATTGTTATGCCTATGAGCCCTAGTATTACAAGTTTTCTGTATATTAAGGATTTTTCAAACCAGATAGTTTACATTTTAGAAGAATATTAAATCAGTTATTAATATTAAAGGATAATAAAAGCTTGTATAGTGATGATACTTTCATGAATAATTACTGTTAGTCAATGATACATGCATTAATTTAAGAGATGCATCAGTATCTAATAAGTTAGTGAAGCTAATGTGGGCAGTGTGGGTTTTATGACCTACCTTGGACCAGACAATAACTGGTTTGGGAACTCCGCTTGCCTCACATGACAGCGTTATGGCTACTCCCTCACTGGCAATGTACTGGTATGGGCCAGCTCTGATCTCTGGGGGCACTGTGGAGGAAGTAGGTTGTAAAATTCAGCCCTCTGACCATGCAAGACATGTGTATACCTCCACCTCTTTACATAGCGTGTCGGTTTTGAGGTATGCCTTAATGATAAGCTGGTAAAGTATTAACCACATGCCCTCTCCATTAATACATGGCTACAAGCAAAATCTCCCAGTCATCAAAGAACGTAGTAAATGAATCCCCTCTCTGTGATTAGAGCAGGTGGTTGAATCGTCAACATATTTTTGTGTTCATCACTGACTCAGCATATTATCGGACCTGATGGTGTCTGGCAATGAGAAACTGTAAACATGCAAATAAGCAAATCAGCTGTGCTGCACAAAATGAGTCTCACCAACGTCCCTAGAATAGTAACATAGAGGAGGAGGATTTTATCCATTTGTAATATCAGGAGGTGTGACCAAGATAAAGAAGCAGGTGAGGTGTGAGCTAGACTGTGATTATTCTGCAGGCAGAATAAGATCTGATGAAACTTATAATCTTTTAAAATCAAGTGCATAATAATTGAAGCATGAGTTTTTGAGACTTTTGCATCAGCGCGATATTTTTATTCCTGTAAAAAACCCGACTTACACAAACAGGCAGATGCTGTTGTGCAAAGTAAATCTATAAAATATTATACAGAAATGTCTAATGCATCACAAATAATGCAAATAATTTCTTTTTTTTTTCATTTAAATTATACAAAATATATTTTTCATTTGTTTTTGACGGGAAGTTCTGTTTGAAAAAAAAAATAGCATTTTCTGAAAAAAGGAGCAGGCCAATAGAAATTACAGGCTCCAGGATAGCTGCTGAAACATCTTTAAAAAAAAAAAAAAAGTCTCTTTGCCTTTAAATTTAAGACTGTAGTGTGGTTGCCATGGCTACAAAACAGGCTTAACTTGGGCTAACTCAACTGACTGGTTGTAACTCTAAAACAAACATGACCACAATTTACACCTGAGATAGTTAAAGATATCCAAGTTTTAAAGAGTTATGATTTCTGCACTTATTATTTCATTCTGTCTCTATGTATTAAAGTTTTACATGAGATACTTAGATCAGCTTTATAAAGAACTATAATACACAATACATTTACTAATATATACTAATACACATTTTAGCTTTTTGTGGTTATAAAATATACCTATAGTTATGGTGTGGAACCTAAAGGAGCACAATCAGTCACTGTTATTTAGTAAACAATGTGTTTTTTACAGCAGTGCTTATGTTTCAATAAATAAAAAACATGAGCTAATTTAATATATAGGTCATATCTATATATTTTAGTTTAGATTATATTAACAAACATAAAATAACCACGGCTCTCCCTCAGACTGTGTATTCTCACACATTCTGAAAGAAGCTAACATACAGGAGAACGGTGGCAGATGTGTGGGGGTGGTTTCTGCTCCTTCACAGCATCTTGCACTGACTTCAATTCTGCAGATTTTTTTCACACTTCCTGAGTTATAAATTATCTTAAATAATTGATTTTCATTTCAATTCAGTTTCATGGTAAAACCGTGGGGACATGAGCGTCAGTTACAGCTATAGAACATTGTCATCCTTACTAGAGCTCTGTTTTCCTCTTATTTGCTATAATCAAAGAAACATCTGTGAAACCAACCTAAAGGTTTGTATAGAAAAAACTTTTCACGAAGGTTGACTTTATACATGTTATCATATGTATGTGTGAGAACAATAACTGAATCAATGCTTATAGCATGATGACTGAAGCCTTTTCCTTCTTCTGGCACAAAACTTGTGAAATGTGATCGCTGCATTTTATGTAAAATCCAATTTAGATACATATGGCTACAAAGTTACACCCAGGTCACCAACTAATAACCGGATATAACATCTGTATTAGTCTGATTTCACTGTTTATTATCACATTCTGAAGTTTGATGCTTCTGTGGATAAATAATTGAGTCATTATTAACTAGCAGCACAGCTCCTGCAGGATACATTGAACAAAGGTACTTTTTGGTCCTGTAAATAGTTTACATTTTTATGTAAAATTTGCTGCAATTAACATGTAAGTACCTTTACTTCAAAATGACACCTCTTATTTTCTGTGTTAGAATCAATTTATAAATCTGTATCCATCAAAAGGCAAGTGAATTTCATGAATATTTCCAAGTATTAATAAAAATGTTTAAATAACTTCCCAACTTAACTGATGTAAATAATATTTACTTGGAAATTTAGAGTAAACTAAGAGCTTTTTCCCTTTCCTGAACATATTTAGGTCAGTAATAGAAAATGTGATTTACTTGTCTTACAGCAAGAAGGTTTAGGGAGCATGTTCTCTCCATGCATGCATGGGTTCTCTCTGGGTACTCCAGCTTCCTCTCGCAAAAATGACTGTTAGGTTAATTGGCTTTTCTAGATTATCTTTACTTATGCATGGTTGTATGTCTCTGTGCCTCTCTATGTAAAATTTACTAGCAAAACAAAAGTACATTTTTTGATAAGATACATTTGGCAGTAAAATTTATTAGATTTTTTTTGTTAAATCAACTCTTCCTAGTACCGTATGTAAAATCAACTTAGATTTTATTGAGTAAATTTACAAGGAATTTCTATGTGGAAAAAGTTACCTGGCTTTTACTAAGTAAACGATACTCCAAATTTTCTTCAGTGTAAAGACTCTCTGAGAATTGCAAGAAAATGATTTTGTTCAAGGTTCTATGGTACAAAAACACTCCTATATGGAGTGCATACTTCCCATGCCTACTACTAATTCATTAGTTTCCTACCTTGGACCTCCAAGCTGACTGTAATATTTACAGTGCCTGCTACATTCATAGCAGTGCAAACATATGTCCCACTGTCTTCTGGTAGAGTTCTCTCTATGTACAAACTGCCATCACTCCTTATGAACACTCTTCCATTCACTTGGACCTGTTGATGCAGGGAAACGGGCGAAACAACGAAACTCTTAAAAACATAAAGAGAATAATTGTGGTAAAAAAGATCAACTGCAGTCAGGCATACAGGTCTCCCATTCTTGGACCAGCGTCTTTCTGGAAGAGGCGTTCCATCCAGCAACATGCAAGGGATGCTGAGGGACTGACCAGCCCCCGTGGTGATGACTGGGGGAGCTTGGCCTAAGACTGGAGGCTCTGAAAGGAGAGTTGTAAAAAAATAATGAAAACCCCAGAAAAATGTGAAATTGGGTATTTTAGATTGGTATTATTGCTACTGGAACCCTACCTAGTCCAGTGACGCTAACTCTGGCCTCAGCTTGAATGCTTCCAAACTGGTTTTTGGCTTCACAAACGTATACAGCTTCATCGTGCAGCCAGACACCTACAGTAAGAAACATACATCCTTAGAAACAGATGACCTGTGGCAAAGGTACATTTCAACACTCACTCTGAGAAAAATCTTTATATTCAACATCAAGCCTCCTTTAATGGCTCTTAAGACCTCTCCTCAATAACCAGTGTTATTATTGGTTTGACGGCCCTGTAATTACTGGCTTAAAAATAGAAAAAAAAGGGATTAATGGGCTTAGCTCAGCTGCCAGCCAGCTGACACATACCCTCCTTGGTGAATTCCCTGGACATTACATGTGGTAAAATTGACCTATAATTAAATGCTTGTATTAAGCTTGCCGGCTAATGGTTATAGCAGGTAATGAAAAACAGCATAAGTGATTTTAAAAGTCAGGTCAAAAAGCATGAAAGTAAAATGAAGAGGTGGATTTGTGCATTACGAAAGGTATGGCTTTTTGTAAACAGAACAGGTGGTAATCAGAGCCATACGACAGATAGAATGAAGCAAATCAGTCAGGAGCTCAAAGGAAAACAGACAAAAACAGTCCATAAAAAAATAACCGTTCTTTCATATTATGTTTCTGGAAACAAAGGATTATCTTAGCCAAGAATGGAAAACCAGGTTAAAAGGTCAAAGTAAACAGTGGATGCCGAATATTAATAAATTCGCTATTTTCTTAGACAGAGCCATCTATTAAGGTGATTTATCATACCCTCTCTGAAATAGAAAGTATTTATGAATCAGTGCTTTAAAGTTCATGTCTGCTTCTGTCTCCTCGAACCCCAGCTCGCCTCAGATGAAGCCCGCTCACACTGAGCCTGGTTCTTGTTGAGGTTTCTTCCTGTTTTTTTTCTCTATGGTTACCACATGCATGCTCTGTGTGAGGGATTGCTGTAGAGTCAACAACACAATGCAGACCAGTGTGTATCAACGCTACATGCTCATCTAGGACGGGCAAATCCTGAAGGTCAATGACTTTATGCAATCTGATTGTTTACCTGAGATAGAAAAACTTTTAACTAATTTCTCTGGTGATTTGATTGAACTGTCTCTATAACATGCATTGAGATGCCATGTGTTGTAAATTGTTGATTTATCTAACTAATATATTAAGACACATATTTTTATTTTTATTTTGTTTGGTTGACGAGATAAAAAATTGTAGGCGTTTTAGGTCTTTGTTTCTTTTTTTATAAATACAGAATCAGACAGTCCTTTGCAACTACTCTCTGTAAATGCTTAAGCTCAAATAAAATATTAATGTGTTCTAAAATGTGTTATGGCCCAGAAAGTGATGCTTTGGTTCTGTAAGCTTCTGATAATTAATAACGTAGGAAAAGCAAATATGAGGAAGCTTTCAAGTCTAAAAGCAAAATCCCAACTGGAGCAGTTACAGTAGTAGCCATTCAAAATTTCCCCACTTTGCTGGATGGGCCCTTGGCTGGTCCCCTACAATTCCTTTTTAAACATTGATCTTTGTATCAAAATATTCCTTCCGTTATGATTTGTGGACATCAAGATCTAAAGAGAAGCGTCATCTCCTGGTCAGACCCTGGAATTCAGTGAAAGGGTGGAGTCAGAGTAAAAAAATATTCAAGTCCATGAGAAGGCCAGTGGCTGGAATTTGGATGGAATTCTGCTGCCATTCGGCTGGTTTTGACTGGGAAGGGCCATTTTGAACGGCCGCTACTGTAGCGCATCATATTTTGTAAATGTTGGTTGGAGGACCAACATTTACAAAAACGCAACACCTCAAGAAATGTATTCAGGAAACTTGGAAGCCAATAGGTCCTTTAAATGATATGATAAATTTGTAACCAAGTGTAGAACAATTAAATTTTTTGGAGGAGTGACCAATACATTGACTGTGCCTTAGAAGATTTGATGGGTAAAGCTTAAAAGGTTTATGTCAGCAAGTGGACCTACAGATGACTCAGCTACACCAGTTCAGTCAGGAGAAATGTTGGGAACCTAGTGGAAGGAAACCCACAATCTAGTATTGCAGTTTGAAAGGCATTGCTAATACTGAAGGATGCTTAGGAGCCACCATTGTAATGTTCTATAGTGTACATTTTCAATCCATCCTCATTTAAAAAACAAAGTCATGCCAGTCATTGTGGGTAAATAGAATAGAATTCAACTTTATCATCATTCCACTGTCACAAGTACAGAGCAACGAAATGAATTCTCTGCATTTAACCCATCCCCTTGGGGAGCAGTGGGCTGCCATTGTGCGGCGCCCGGGGAGCAGTGTGAGGTTAAGGGTCTCAGGGACCCAGAGTGGCAGTCTGTGGGAGTGGGGGATTGAACTCACAACCTCAGGATTCAAAGCCCTATGCCCTAACCACTAGGCCGTCACTAGTATTATTAGACTTTTCTGAGCCACAGCTCACTCACTCTGAATTAAAAGATGGCCGCTCTCCATCTGCATTGTTCTGCTGCCCCCGCCTGCCCTCGCAAGAATCTGTCTGCCGTCCTTCCTGCGCCAGCTGACTGTCGGCTGTGGGGAACCTCGGGCGACGCAGGGGAGGGTGATGTTCTCCCCCACATTAGCGCTCATGTCGGTCGGGGCCTCAGAAAACAATGGGCCCGCTGTGTAAAAATGACTTCGTCTTTATTTGGGTTTGAGAGTAACACAATCTTTATGAAAAACAGTAAACTGTGGTCTTACCTCCAACCTCCAGTCTAACAGTGCCAGTGGAGGTTCCAGCAGAGCTGCTGGCCACACAGTTATACTGACCAGCATCGACTTCCTGCACCCCGCGAATCTGCAAGGTCCCGCGGTTTACATCCTGCTCTACAAAAGGAGCAGAGCCCACCTCGAGCTCACCTGTGACAACCAGTGAAAAAGCTGCTTTTAACAAACAAAAACATCTTTAAACTTGCAAAGAATGCACTGTAGTCTGTAACTTGCCTTTGAACCAGCGGATGAGGGGAGGGGGAATGCCTGTGGCTTGGCATTCCAAAGTGGCATCACCACCAACAGATGCTAACACAACCTGCTGTCTAACTGCTATTCTGGGCACCTCTGATGGAAAAAGAAAAACCAAGATATTATGACTTTAGCTTAATAGAAATGTTAGAAACAGTTAAAGGATTACAGCACCTTTTCTTTTGATAGAGCAACAGAAAGTAGTGCAGAATTGAGAGATAGAGGAAAATTTTAAAAAAAAAAACTAAATAATTTTGGCTGCATTTGTATAATTTATGGATGCTAACTGTGAAAATAAAGCCATTTAAAGTCTACCTAAAATTTTGCTAAAAGGCATTTTGGGGACATGTAGAAGAAGCGGCCTGGAGCCAAAAACAGCCTATTTGATGAAAACTAACCCTGCACATCATAATGAATTAAAGCACCTTTCAGCAAAGATCTTAAGAGCAAATGTCTGTTTTGACAGATCAGCGTTGTTAAAAGTGACATACAGACTCAGCGGCATTATAACACCATGGCTGCCTTAGAGGGAGGCTGCCATATTATATCAGCGTTGAGTTTTTTTCTTATCAAGGATAGACTGACAGCTCTAACTGACACTACTGATCTGCAATTATCAAGACTGATGGAAGGAAATGTGGCAGTGTGAGGCAGAGCAGGGCTTTTTATGGCATAGTACACCTGTAAAGATTACCTGCATACGTTAGTGACGCCGTCTGAGAGGCACTCCCAGCCTCATTGGTCGCCCGACAGATGTAGTCCCCAGCGTCCTCTGGAACTGCTCCACGAATAGTCAAAAGTCCATCCTTATTTACTCTAAACCTGCATTATAGAAATCACAAAAAAAATTTTTGTCTGGCATAAAATTTAATTGTTTCAAAAAAACCTCAGCACAATGTTTAGCTGACTGCACAGCGCCTTGTAAAGGTATTAATGGCGCTGAACTTTTCCCATTTTGTTATGTTAGGATGGAACAAACATGAGTAGCAAATTATTTAAAAGCAAAATGATACAAAATCAGCTGCAAGTCTTAAGGTGTAAAATAGCTTTAGATTAGTGTGACTGGATGTTTTTTGCCCATTGATCAAAAAGTGTGATCTCATCTGATTGGTGCACAATCTTAAAGGTATAGGGAAGGACTTTTTCAAATTTTCTCCACTTAGAAAAAAAATGCACATGCACAACCCTGTGCCTGCTCTTAAAAGGGAATGCCTATCAAACATGTGCAATAGCATGCATGAGCCCACTTCACCTTGTTTTACTAGCAGTGATGTGAATTGGATTTCTCCAAAAAGTGTGCTAAACTTTACCTGTCGAGTAGAAACTTTGCAACTAAGGCATCAGTGGGAAGCCCAACCTGTACTTTCAGTCTACACATTGCATGAAAGAATCTCCCAAAAACATTCTGATTTAGTTTGTCTCTTCTGAAGCCGTTCTCTTCTTCTCATACAATTCATAGACACTTTTTCATTTATGACCCTCGGCCATTTTTAAAAAAGAACCGCAACGAGAAAGGTAAGCTTTAATCACTGACAGAAACAGCTTTTTTATTGTCATTACACTGTCACAAGTACAGAGCACTGAAATGAACTCTGTATTTAACACATCCCCTTGGGGAGCAGTGGGCTGCCATCGTGAGGCGCCCAGGGAGCAGTGTGGGGTAAAGGGTATTGCTAAGGGACCCAGAGTTGCAGTCTGTGGGAGTGGGGCTCGAACACAGAACCTCAGGATTCCAAGCTCTGTGCCCTAACCACTAGGAAACCACTCCCCTCCCTACTCCTCTTTAGTGTAGAGGAAACACATAGCTCACCCCAAAAACACACCTGAAAGTGCCAGAATGATTAACAGTTAGGAAGATCCCTTATTTTGATGATCCATTCGGAAAAAGAACATCCTCCCCTATAACTTTAACTGATAATGTGTCTCCAAATTGCTAGTGGTTAACTGTAACCAAACACTTCCTGTTGGCACATTCTCCCAGTTGAGGTGTGGATCTCTGCAGCTTTAGGTGGCTGACCATGTCTTGATAGGTTTACAGCAGCTTAATATGTTTCCCCTTTTTAGATTATAGACGGAATGATTCAATTCTGTTCAGTTTATTTCAATAGCGCCAATTCACAACACATGTCATCTCAAGGCACTTTACAGTTCACCAGATCATACAGTCAAATTGATACAAAGGTTTCCATCTAAGGAAAACTAGTTGATTGCATCGACTCTTTGATTCGAAGGCAGTCCCTCACACCAAGCATGCTTGTAGTGACAGTGGAGAGGAAAAACTCCCTTTTAACAGGAAGAAACCTCCAGCAGAACCAGGCTGAGTGTGAGCGGCCATCTGCTGAGGCTGACTGGGGTTCAAGGAGACAGAAGCAGACATAGAAAATGCTTAGGATATCTTTATACTTCACTCTTTTCTACCTGACCTTTGCTCCTTTTCTTACACTGTTTATGGGGAAGGTGTAATTTCACTATGTTAGCTATAATTTTACTTATTTTACTATTCTGTATTATATTTTATTTTGCTCTATTGTACACTGTAAGAAAATACAGACATTCTGATTCTTATTCCTTAAGACTGATTTATACTCAGAAACCAGGTTGTCAGCCATGCTGCTCCACTTGAGAAAGTAAAATCTTTTTGGCATCAAGACAATTATTCTTATTACCACATTGCCAGACAGGACACTGTTAAAAATAAAAAATAAATTCACTGCATGTGTGTTGCAGTGAATGCAAATGTCCCTCCGCCCCTGCCGCAGACACTCTGCTGCACCTCTCCCAAATTGTAGGCGACAGCAGACAGTGCTGCAGACAGGAGGCCTCTGATTGGTCAAATCTACATCCGCTCGACTCTATAAGTATTTCTTGTTTTGTACCTTAACACTTGTTTTGTTTGTATGACCAACAATGCGGAAAACAACTCGTCAAATTGGACCAGCTAGAAGAGCGAGTTGCGCGAGAACGCAAGAGCACCCATCTTTTCCGCCTTCAATGTCCCTCCGTTGTCGGACTAACTTTCCCCCACTTCTTCACCGCCTCGGCCGTATCTAGATCCACAGCTAGTTCGTGATTGTCCCTTTTGCGTTGTGCCGTGGAATAACATAGCGCAGACCACGCTTCAAAAAAGGGCATAAATCAAAAATATCTGAGACAAGCTCACTGCGACACACTGCTGCGGGGGGATAACCAGCCCTTAAGTCTTCATGTTACTAGTTGTTCACTAAAAAACTTCTGAGGTTTTCACAGAGGAGCAGCATTCATACTCTATTTGGACTCTATTTATCAGAGTAAATGGGTGTTTGAAAACATGTCTGAGCCACCTTTTATAGATTTAGAAAAAGTAGGATTTACTTTTTTGTCACTCTGAAATTATGCACCACTTTGTGTTTGTCAGTTCCATAAATCCAAACGAAATAAACTGATGACTGGGGTTATAAAGTGGCAAAGTGTGAAAAAGCTAAATGAATTAAAACATAATACTTTGGAATGCAACGTAGAGTGGATTATAATGATAGACTCAGTCCTCCACGGTGCCAGAGGTGTTGAAGAGACTGAGCATTCCCTTACCTCGGCTGATTGCTTAGGAACATGTTTCCACGGCTCCAGAAGATCTGAGGGGGGGGGGAGCCGGACGCCGAGCAGACGAAGCGGATCTCATCCCCTCGGGAGAAACTTTGGGTCTGAGGGCGAACTTCTACAGAAGGAGCCTCTGCGATTAAAGTCAAACCCAAGCAAACAAAGCAACAAGGATGAGTCAGTGCATTGTTGAGGCAGCATGATGTCATTTATAACTTCCTATCACCAGATTAGCCGCAGTAAACTTCAGGCGATTAAACATCTGACATCATGACGGCAGAAAAGTTTCACATTTATTTGCCTGTTTTCAATACTAACTGAGAGTATGTCCACAATGAAAAACACATTTATCTATAAACATCACATTTGGCTGATGAGCTATTTCTCTGTGAAGGAAGTAGCTCACTCTGACTGCAAGGTTAAGGGAGTAATGGAAACCAGATGACGGGAGCCTGAGAGGAGCCAAGGGGCCCCAGAGTGTTAAGTGCTTAAGCAGATGATCCGCAGGGTATCTTCCTCTCCTACCTGGGACTAGGAGCCACACTGTGATCCTGCTGTCTCCCTGGGCGTTGGTGGCCACGCACTGATACGCTCCAGCATCCTGAACCTGAACTGTGCTGATCTGCAGCGAGGAGTCACCCAGCAGCATCACCCTCCCCGATCGGGCGCGGATCGCGCGTCCGGCTCGATACCAGGTCAGGTTATGACGCATGTGGCCGTCCACCTCACAGGACAGCACAGCTACGCCTCCCACAGAGGTGCTCACGTTAACAGCAGGCTTCAAAACCGGAGGAGGCTCTGCGTCCATCGAAACGCAAGCAAAACAAAAAAGAAAAAAACAAAACAGGAATTATCAGCAGCGAGCAAACAGAGCAGAAATAGTTTATCTTTCAGAGCAAATATTTGTTCCATTACGCTCAGCATCTGCTTGATGTTTTAGACATAAACAGCAGATTAAAAAAAAAGGCCGGAACTTATTTCAAAGCTTTGCAAAGACAGTGATGCATGCGCACTGAAATCCAGAACTTAAACTCATCTGTGTGTGTCACATACCTTGAACAGTAAGCCGGGTTAAAGCCTGTCCCTGTCCTGCACTGCTCTGCGCCATGCACTCATACGTGCCCTCATCCTCACCGGATGCATGTGCAATCTCCCAAGATGCTACGCCAGAATTCCTAATGTAAAAAAAGCATGTGGTAGGTGGGAATTAGACAACATTTAAATGGCAGAGATGACAGCAAGTCTTTCTTGCCAAGCTAAGTCTCGGGTTTCTAATGATTTACATTAATGTTCTCACGTTGGATGCATGCCGCCTAGACTGCCGAAAACACAGAATTACTGAAGACTGTAAATTTCAGTCATTAATATTTGGCATATTTAGTTTAACAGACAGAAAAAAATACAGTTACTGTATGAACTGGTGTATCATTTACCCTATTTAAATTAAAGGTGGCATGGAAAAAGTATTTTCTTTATTTGAAGGTTTTTTATTGATCATATATTCATATTTTTCTTTTAACTGCAGCATGATGTTCTAGTTTTGTGCTTTTTTGAGCTGACTTAATCTAATCAGAAAGGTTCTGGGTATGTCTTTAAGGAAGAAGGGTAGGTTAGCTTAGCTTTTTACTCTTCCCACCCATGTATGAATGATGTTTGATCACTGAGTTGAGCTGTAAGGAGAAAATACTTTTTTTAACACTTTGCACCAGTGGTGAAGATAGTTTAAAGCCTGTTAATGTTTAATTTAATCAAATAGAAAGCATGTTTTAGCTCTTTGAATTTACATTTTTAATGTCTGTAAATTTCTTTGCTCAAAATATTCAGTCCTTTAGTAGAACATTAAACAGGAATTAGGACAGGGGTTCCCTAACGACAGCATCTGTGATTGGATCCATTAGATTCGAACTGCTGATAAAACATGGTTTGATGAAAAAGGAGATAAGGATGCTGCTAAGAATCAACTCTCAGAACTTGAGTCTGTGCAGTCCTGAGTCTTAATTTTAAGTCTTCTGTTCTTGTTTTCGCTGCTTTAGTGCAGCTCCGTCCTGAGCCACAGGCTCTAGTCTCCGTCCCTGGATAATGCAAATAGTTTTAACCAAAACTCAGTCAGAGTTTATGAATGTAATTCAAAGCAGATTATAGGCAGACAGAAAAAAGTTGAGGCTTAATTTTTCTTTATGATGACATAATCGAATATGTAATCTCTCAAAAGGAGACTTTGTAGACTTGATTCATGACAGATGAGCCAACAAAACGGAAGAGTCAGGCAATAGTAATGCTTTACAGCCGGGCTCACTGGGGGAGAGGAGGGAGAAACTAAATGAGCTCCTTTAAGGCTGAAGGTGAAACACATGAAGGAAACGTATTGAAATCAGTATTGCGCCGATGCTATTTTTTGGACCCGATACTGATACCCAATACCTGGCTGTGCATTATTGGCTGATACTGATACCATACCGATACTATCTGTTTGCAATTGATGTTTGTGTGTATATATGAAGAACTGCATGCTACTTGGATGTATTTTTTTTTTCTTTTTTGATGTAAAATAATTGCCCTCATGGCCTTGTCAGGCTGCTGCCTACCTTTGTGAAGCAGGGAAATACTAATACTAATACAAAGTGAATCCAGTATAACTTTTTATTGCCTACCTGGAATTGGTGACAATAGTTGAATAAACCTTTGGCAATCAAAATGATATTGGTGCCCTATTTTTTGGTACTCGCCGATACCGATACAACCATTTTAGTGCTGGATCGGGGCCCCGCCTAATACTAGTATCGGTGCAACACTAATTGAAATGTAAAGCCTTTTCTGCAGAGAAAGAAAGACTCACTGAAAATGCTTCTCCTCTCCTAGAATCATCCCGTTTCTGGTGAATCTTAGCTTGTAAGGAATGTCACTTTGCACCGAGCAGCCAATGGCAGCAGGCTGCATGTAAAAGCCCCTCACCACATTAGGCATTCTCACCGCTGGGGGATCTACGTGAAGGAGGAACAAAGGTTAAATTTTACAAGAGAGATTGATGAGGTGTTGGAGTGGCTTTGGTGAAACGTTTCTGCAGGAATTGTTGGTTGTAGCCTTGCCTGGAATGATGTTAGTGTAGGAAACACTTGATAACCTCTGGAAGAGGAAGCCCGTCTCATCATTGCCTGTAACCTTGATGAAGAAGCTTTGTGGTGGCGTGCGGAACTCAGGGAGAGTCCAAAGCCCTTGTTGGCCAAGGTCAGTGGGCAGAGGTACAGGGATGGTGCGTAAAGACCGTCCGGAGGCTGACATGAGCTCCACCTGACTCAGATAACCTGGGGGCTTCAGGCCGGTACATTTCAGCATGACATGGGTTGGAAGTCCTGGGAGAAAAAGAAATATTTTTATCTCGATCATCTTCAACCGACTTTCTCCTTTACGTAGATCTATAAGAGCTAACTGAAGCCGGTCAGCACCTTTAATTGGTCTTTCTCTGGTCTGGCTGAACTCTAAAACAGGTAAAGTGGAAAAGCCAGCCCGGAAGTCCAGACTGCTGACCCCTGTAACCCTCAGAGTATGGCGCCCACTGCAGCTCACCTTCAAAAATAAAGTAGCTCGGTTACATTGGCTGTCTAAACAGGAAGAAATACATTTCTTATTCACCATTCCCAGGAGAAATTACCTTAAGTTTCCAGGATCCAGGTCTCGGAAACTTTAGGTTGACAACCCGAGCGGAGTTGGGAATATTCAGCAGTTCCTGAAGGCCCTGCTCAGCACCAATGACCCGACCTTTAAAAAAAAGTAGAATAAGAGAAGCCTTTTAGGAAAACTCCCACATTTTACCAGGTTAAAATGACCAACTTTGAAAAACTTTATAGCAATAAAAACTGATAAATAAACAAAGGTAGCAAAGAACTGAAAAACTGATAAAAGGTTTTTTTTTCTTTTATCTTACAAATAATGCTCTAATTTGTAGCTCTTAAAGATAAGGTAAATTTTAGCATTGTTTGAAGAAAGTCTTTACAAACTTCGTTCATTTGGATATTGAAATGTTTTCCTAATCTTATGTATATATGGCTCCATCGCATTTAGCGTTGATGGAGACCATCAGGAAACAGCAATTCTCAAGCTCCACAGATCTAATCATTAACTGTGACCAGCTTCCTTATCGTTATAGAGGAATAACATCTCTGCTACATGGTTCTTCCCACCAGCTTTTATCAGGTTGCTGGTGAAGATTCTCAGTCATCCGGGTCATAGTCATTCCAAAACAGTTGAAAAACAATCCCCTGGACTTCTTTTTCCAAGTTTGAAGACATTTCGCTTCCCATTCAGGAAGCTTTTTCAATAAAACAAAAAAACAAACAAAAATTTGAATTCAAAGTGGATTGTTGTTGTTTTTTTACTTTAAAACAAATCTCTTATTATATATTATTATATCTCTTATCTGTTTTTTTTTTTTTTACTTTTTTAGTTAGTTTTCTGTTATGATCAGTGTTTTAAAAGTCTAACACTCGTTTTTATATACATATAAAGGTGCTTTGTTCCCTTCATGCTTTGAAAACAGGACTTCTTTCCTACTTTTAATAACTTCATCAATGGTTTCTTCTCCCTTTTTCTTGATAAAGGCCAGTTTTGTGGAATGCAAATCTAACCATTTATTCTACAAGCCTAATTTGTGGATCCCTGCAGCTCCCTAAGGTTGATTCCAATTTTTTTTTTTTTTGGCTGGTTATGTGAATAAAAATACCCCACTTGGGACAAGTGTGTAAAGAAAATGGATGGATGGATGGATGTGAATAAAAATGTCTTTTATGGCCTTTAGGTGAAGAAGCCAAATTGTCTTGGTAGGTTTTTCCTTTTCTGGCAGATGGCTTAAGCATTGTCTGTGAGATTTCTAAGCTTGTAATGTCGTTCCCTGACCTGTCTGCTTGATGTTCGTCTACCATAATAAATCTTGTTGAAATATGTGAAAATGTTTGGTTATAAATAGAGAATATGTGAAGAAGTGGCCAAGATGGTTTATTTTATGAAAGGCTGAGTAAAGGAGGAAGGAGAAAAACTGTGTAACAACCGAAGGGGTCGCTGAGCTCGATTTGTGGCGCCGGTCCGCTGAGTGAGACGGTGACCTCCCTGAGGCTGGGGTCAAAGGGCACTTCCCACTTGTTTTCCTGGGCACTGTCGTGGTTGGAGGACAGCAGGTGGACTTTCATTGCCTGAACCGTCTCTTCTACCCACTTTAAAACCTGGCAGGAGGGGAAAAACAGCAGTAATAAACCAAAAGCAAGAGAAGAAAATGGAAAATTTAACAAGAGACACGCTAATTAGGAACCAAAGGATCTTCCGAAAACACAGCACAGAAATCAGAAGAACTTTTCCTGACATTCCTTCCCTTCCCTGCTCTTTGTCTTTTGACATTTCTTTCATCCCCTAAGTATCCCAGAGAAAGTTCTTTTACCTAAACAAAGGACGAGTGAAACGTCTCAGCTGTCAAACTGATAACATACAGTTTTCTGCGCTCTGGAGCATATATTCCCAGGAGAGTATCTCTCACACTGGAGGTTTCTCAGACAGTAGTCACTCTCCTGCAGCACAGCTTTCAGGAATCACAGCTTCCTGCTCGGATCATAAAGCATCTATAAATCTGGAGGTGGCACTTCTGGCTTTGTTTAAGAAACAAACTTACATACAGAGCTGCAGTTTTTTTTTTTTTTTTTTTTATCAACTTGACTCAGAGAAACAGACGTTGCTGGCAGTAACCTACTTTTCTATAGAAATTGGAACAGCCAGATCAGGTCAGGTGGTGACACATTGAGCCCACTTAGTCATCCTAACGCTCAAAGCAAAGTTTATCCAAAGGCTGAAATAACCATGGACAGGTTAATAATACCAAATGGTAAAAGCAGTCATAACTCAGAATATCAGGTCTCCCAGCAGCTCTCCAGAGACACATCCGACATTATAGGCGTTCAGTTTTGACAGCTGCTTTACTCTCTATGTGTCGTAATCATCATCCTATTGATTCCTGAATTGATTTCCTTTCATTTTCCCCCTGAAATGAAAACAGAGGCCGCGAAAGCCACCGACAGTTGACAGCATCTCCTTTCTTTGGCCACAGCAGACGCAAAATCTTCCATCTTCTGAAAGCTTAACAAGCAACTGATGTCTAGAATTAGTTTGAGTCTCGCAGGCGTGTTTTTTTTCTTTCTAGTCTTCGTGCAGAAACTGGGCGAACAAGGAAAACAAATTGGAACAAACATATATGATTTAGGACACTTAAAAACAGCCAAACATGGGAACAAGTTTCTGTGTCTTCATCAAATTTCCACTTTTCGAAGGGTTTCAATTGAGTGCTGACAGCAGCTGGTCTCTCTTTTAAAACTGGAAACAGCTGTAATGACTGCCACATGTGCAGTCATCACCAGCAGAGCAGGAAACTGCAAACCAAGGGTCCTGCATCTGCCTCAGGACAGCGTCCACTTCTTGTACAAGACAGGAGGAAGGAGTTGGCATTCATCTGCTCTTAGAGCTTAGATAAAAGGGACTGAAGCTCAGAGATGGGAGGACTTGCCGTCCGGGCCACAGTGGGGCTCCTCAGCCGCTCCCTGTTTCAAACACTGGGAAGAAAAAAAGATCTTAAGTTCTGCGTAATCTCATACTGCATGTCTCAGACGAACAGGCCTACAGGAAGGACTCCCCTCGGTTAGTAAAAGCAGCTCAACAGATGGATCAGGGAACGAGCGGTAGCACAAGCTGCAGGGCTGCTGGATTCTCCCTGACTTGTGCACGCATGTTACCCGAAGAGAAAAACATGCATTCAAGCTGCGGTTTGGAGAGCCTGATTCCAGACGTCCCGGTGGGCAGGGGTCAGTTTAGACTTTACCCAGGTTTAAACACCGCAACCGCAGACATTTGCTGCGAAATGTCCCGCTACAAATAGAGTGGGCCGCACCAGATGGAGCCCCTGCTCCTTCTCTGTGGGGGCCTGACACGCAGAGGCTCATGCTGTCAAAAGGGGATGTAGTAGAGGGAGGCAGCGCAGATTTAGAAGGGATGTTACCTACATTTCATTTTATGCATGAGAACCGTTGCCACCCCCTTAACTCACTACTGAATCCACATGATGAGGAAACCAGAAGCACAGAAATGTTCACATTACTCCACAGAAAAAAACCTGAAACCCCTCAAACAAACACTTTTCATTTAATCACATCAATTTTAATTCTTTGTTTCATAGTTAATTACTGTCTGGTGTAATACTGGATATTATTCTCCTGCCTTACAGGGTGTAATTGTCGTGTTTGTTTTCCTTCTCTTCCACTCAGTCCGGTCCATTAGCTGTACTATACCAAACCATCTCCTACCTTAGCTGCTAATCTCTGATCTTGAAGTGGATGCCCACATTCGGATGATGGATGAGCAGTGCTCAATTAGAAGTTCAAAGTTTTGGATGTTTTATCATCTACTCATCCATCATCCACCTTTCACTTCACATTTCTCCCTGAGCAGTCTGCTAAGTTCTTTACACACATCTGGACCCTGTTTCCTTTTGATGACGCCTGAAACTACTGGGTTTACTAGATTTAATTTAGGGCCTTTTGGGTTTTTCTTTCTTTTCTTACACTTTCTTTCTTTTCAATACAGTGTATTTATGTTAAATTCTTATAAAATATCTGGAAATGTATGTTTGTAACATGAAAACCTGTGTATGCTTTTGAATGATTAAAAAGCACCTTTAAAGCAATTCCCCTGTCTGCAAGCAGGAAAACACTTCATTTACCTTAACATTAGTAAATAATCAATAAAAAATAAACCTGAGATGCATAAAACATATTTTAGAGATTACGCACACTGTTTAAACACGGTCAGATCCATAGTGGTTAAATATAAAGATTTTATTATGTCAAGTTGAGTATGAGCTACAGTGTGAGGATCTTGACTCCGTGCCACTAGGCAGCTGTGTTGGAAGGAGGAAAACCATTACAACCATTAAATCCTGGGATTAGAGAGTAAAAAAATGCTCTGTATTAACTCCACTTCCTCCCGTACAGAGAAAAAAGACGACTCTGTACGTCATTTGTCTGCACATTATCAAACTTTTTGTATATTTTAGATAAAAAAAAGAAGCTTTGTTCTGTGTTTTTTTTTTTAAGAACTAAATGATTTGTAAGATTTTGTAATAATGTTTGTCACAAAAAGGTCACAAAAAACAAGCATCCGCAAGTCTGCACATAAACTGTACACATGAAGGTATAGTGGAGGATTTTCACAAATTTCTTTGAAAAAACATGCACATGCACAACCCTGAACGCATATTTAACACGTGCAAGAGCGTGCACAAGCCCATTTCTCCTTGTGCACGCTCTGTTTACAAGTTGCTGTTTGCATCGCTCATACAATCTTATTTCCTGATTTGCATTTTTTCCACTATGTCAGACCCACCACCGGTAAGTGAAAATTGAGATGAGCATGTAGGATGGCCTTGTTTAAACGTATCACCAGAATGATTGGAAGACCACTTATTTCGATGATCCACCCGGAAAAACAACATCCTCCATTATACCTTTAAGATCTGCTGAAATACTTACAATAGTGTGGTGTTAACTCTCTGGAGGTGGAGTGTGAGTGCAAAATCTAATTCCAGTCCCCTAATATTCCATCACAAACACCACATTCATCCCCTCTTTCAACAGCTTGCAGGATTATGATGTGGTAATGAACAGAGTTGCCCCACACACAGGCAAATGTATGCTATATACAAGCACGACCTGACAGGAAACAGACCCACACGCACAAACACTTGAGAGTTCACAGGTTCAGTGGGCCACCAGGATCTAGAACTTCTGGCTCCAGCCCAGAACTGCCCAGCCATCTCCTGTGCTGACATGCAGGACACCAGTGTCTCTTCCAGAGGAAACTCTGGCTTCTTTTACGTCTGCCTGGGAAGTGAGCCCCGCTGTCTTTGGCCCCAGAGACAGGGGCTTCAGTTACATGCTCCTTCCGATATAAAAGAATCCCTCAGCCGTATCGTATGAACAGGAAGTCCTAATATCAGTACGCGAATCGTTTGGTTTAACTCAATGAAATTATTGTTGCAGCACCAAGATAAGCTCTGTGCTTGTTCTGCTGCTGCCTTTGTCCAGACCGGGGAAGCAGATACAAGGGCACGGGAAGCTTGGATAACCCCGGTCAAATTTTATGCAGCTATGAATAGCAGCGTAACTATCAGATGGCATGAATGCATTTCAACTAAGCGGACACATTTGTTTAATACAGTTAAGACTACAGAGCCTACGTTTCAACACAGGAGAAAGAAAATGTTTTTTTTCCTCTAACAAATTGGGCTGTAGGAAATGTTCTTGATGCCTTAGAGGCATGCCTGTTAAAGACAAATGTTTTCATATTTTAGTTCCAGATAATCTAAAGATGTTCCAAGTTAAGGAACATAACCGAAACTATACAAAAAGATCGTATGCAGCCATGAAAACAGAATAGGACAACATGGAAATGCAGAGCAACACAGTGATTTGTAAATGGAAAATAGGCTGTTTCCTTCTAATGGAATTATGTTTAATAAAAGTAGTGTTCCATACGGATTACACTGGGAGAGTCACATTTCCCAAAGGTCAAAACTTTAAACTCTCAAAAAAAAGTTTGTCTTCAAAATTAGCTACAAAAATAACAGCCCATTTTTATCAGTGTTTGAGCTAATTAAACAAAGATATCTGAAGCAAGTTCCTGGAGCTGATTATTATGATACGCATGAGACAAAGCAACCCGAAAAGCCCGGGAACCTTCTATCCTTCGCTCCCTTCAGCCATGCTCTTACCTCGTTCACCTGCTGCTTGTCCAAATGAAAGATTTGTCCGGAGGAGGTGGCTGCGATCTCCTCATACGCCCTGTAACCAGGCTGGGAGCGGTCTCCGCAATCTCCAGTCAACACAAACACAACCTGTGGACAAAGGAGATGAAGAGTCAGAGTTTTCTGTGTTTCTCATAATATATTTATAGCTCTTAAGCTTTGTCAATTTGTCAAATAATAATAACTAGATTTATTTTTTATATGGATATTTTATTTTAAAATAACTAAGTAACATAACTGAGGCTGATAAAGAAGGTCTTTAGGAACAAATAGAAGCTGAAATCAGCCTGCCTAGTCAATCATCATTTGAATGTTGGGAAAAAGAAATGCTGCTAATCAACCTCAACACACAATTCCTACACTGACTCAGGTTTTCTTTCAGCAGGGACAAGGAAGCTGGTTAGAGTCATTTTGAAGGCTGTTTCAGGTAAGCTAGGCAAACACTGTGCGATATTTTTAATCTTTGCATGCAGCTACAGCTCAAACTTTACTGCAAAATCGCAGGGTTTAAAAGTTAACAGCTAACAATACATGTTCTCACACTGTTCTCACACGCCCGATGCTGTGATGCGACCTTACGAAGTCCGACTGAATATCAAACATGTTTGATTTCTCGCGACCTTACGATTCCTGATCGGTAGGTGGTCATGAGAGGCAGATCGCCCCTTGTTACCCATGTATACTACACGACGCACAATCAGGCTAAAAATCGGCCGAATCGACAAATTCTTGCATGACTGGAGAATTGGCCCGAAATGAATAAAACATTTTTTCACAGCGAATGCCCGCTTCCAGGATAGTGCTTAGCGGCTAAGCACTACCCTGGAAGAAAAACCACGAGAGCCTCAGATAACTAGAGAATAGAGCAAATGTATAGAGCAATCCTTTCTATCTCTTCTTTCTTTCATCTTTTCTCCTTTTTTTTCTTTTATTCCCCTTTCTTCTTCTGTTTTTCTGCTCTATTTACATTGCAGTGTCCATATAAACTGTAAAACTCCCTGCATAATTAATATAATAAAGCAATTTATATGCATGAAACAAGTGGAGCAATATGGCAATTGCCATACTGCTACACTTGTGAAAGTAAAATCTGTTGGGCTCTTTTTGGCATCAAGACAACTACTCTTATTGCCACATTGCCAGACAGTACACTGTAAAAAAAAAAAAAAAAGAGAATAGAGCAAATGTTTGTCTTCCAGCATATCTTGAAACATACAAGTTTTATTGTTATCTCCCTTTTATCTTCTCTTTCTTTAATCTTTTCTCCTTTTTTCAGTTTTTCCTTTCCTGTTCTACTTACGTTGCAGTGTCTATACAACCTGTAAAACTCCCTGCATGAATTACAATACTGCTATTTGTATGCATAAATCAAGCGGAACACTATGACGATAGCCGTACTGCTCCACTTGTGAAAGCAAAATCTGTTGGGCTCTTTTTGGCATCAAGACAATTATTCATATTGCAACATTGCCGGACAGGATACTGTAAAAGAAAAAAATAAAGAAAGTTTTATCTTAAGGGGGCTACACGTATACTCTCAAAACTTTTCAGATCTTCCATTTGTAAAAAAAATAACCCTGTTTATTTTTTGTATTCTGTTTTACAGGTCCGCTTTTTCCAGGGTACACGAGTCTCTTTGAGATATTTATCATAAAGTCCAGTCCTTGTCAGTACCTGTGATTGACGGAGCTGCACCAGGCGCAGAACGTCTCTTTTCAGCCGGTAGTCTTTGGCACGGGCATCAGTGAAGACGTAGATGAAGGATCCAGGCAGCGAAACCTCTAAAGCCTTCTTTATAGCTCCTATACTCATCTCAGGGCAGTCACCCCCACCCTGAAAGACAAAAACAGACCTATTTGTGCTCAATACCTAAAAAATGTTGTAAAAATTGAACATGTTAGTTCTTTTAATACATATAATTTATGAAACTTGTACCCTTATATGTACTAAAGCAACACCGTGTGTATAAAGACTGTGTCTCTTGGGTAAATAAACATAAACACTGATGAATGTGTTTCTGTGTTAATTTGTGGGTCTTAATTCCAATAGTGTTGATATTCTTTATTAGAGATTTTTCCCAAATGTTATCTGAATAAATGTGGTAGTATTCTGAGGTAAATGCTCTGTGTTTTCTTTCCCACCTGGACAAACAATTCCTGCAGATCCTGCTGGAACTTCTTGGGGTCGGTGGTGATGGAAACAGGGCCAATATCTGTGAGGAGAAAAAAACTCTGATAAAGTCATCTCAGTAGGTTTTAGTAGCAGATTATTCATCACAAGAAGAATAGATGTAGTTGTTTCCTCTCTGCAGACTCGTTTGGCTCTGTCGTATCTCCACGCTGCAGTGATAATAAAGATTAATTCGGCTTTGTTTAGCTCCGCCACTGAGAACATTTATAAAATCAAATTGCCTGATAAGTAACAGTCCAATTAATAAGGACCCAAATGATGTCCTAGAGCTTTTTATGTGACACATGGATTTAATTTGTACACTGTGCAAAGCAGGATGATTTAATATATAAACAGGATTACTACATTTATACTTTTTCTTTAATTTACAGAAATCTGACCAAAGCTAAAAGACAGAGTAATCAATTTTTTAAGGTTCTGTGAGAGTTTTCATCTGAGTAACTTCCCACGCTGGATAAACATCGAAATCTAGATAAGTAATTTTTTTCTTAAAATAAGTGCATTTGTTCTTGGATTGAGGAGGTAAAAGCAACATTTTGCCAATGAAACAAGACAATTTATATTTAAAATAAGAAAACATTGCATTGATTTATTTCAAGTGCATTTTATCTAATTATCTATTTTAAGAGTAAAAATACTCATTCTACTGGCAAACTATCTTATTTACCTATTCCAATTAAGGATAAATTCACTTAATTTAAGAAATCTTTAGTTATTTCTAGATCGTTTTTCCAGTGCAAGGTCTGGAGGAATGTCAGATTCAAGATGATGGATAGAAGCCAGTTAGATCCTGATGCTCAGGTTGACAAATCTCTGCCGTCATTCAATGAGGTATAAATACTGACAGTGACACAATTATCTGTATTGTTCTCCCTTTACTGAATACAGCTGCTGTATGTGGAGGTTCCTACAGAGAAGGGCTTCATCAGGTGGGGCGGAGCCTCATGAGTTCTGTCTGTCATTGTTATTGTAACTATCAAAGGCCACTTTGACGTACAGCGTCTTCCAGGCGTTGTCAGGATGATGATGTTTCACACTCGATCATAATCTTTTTTTATTTTCCAGTATTGCTGCCTTTGAAGTTCCCTGCCTCCTCCTCATCCACTGACAGCATCTCACGACTTTGTTTGTCAGCCGCTGCCGCTTCTTTGCAGTCTTGGAGGTTTACAAGCTCCCTGAGGGGCAGGGCACATTAAACACAGACAACATGTGTGATGTTAGCCCCCGCCACCCCACACTCTCCCCAAGGCTGGCTAAACCGGGGGGCTGTGAGGGTTTTCCGGTGGTTTCNCCCCAAGGCTGGCTAAACCGGGGGGCTGTGAGGGTTTTCCGGTGGTTTCAGGGGGGGGGGTAGCAAGTGGGTGTATGTATTTTTGTGTGCTGAGAATAGGAGGGGGGGGCGACTGGTAATTACACACAAGCAGTCGGCATATGCTTCTCATCACAGCACTCTTATTTTCATGCTGAAGGTTTTTGCAGTCGGCAGATGCTGGTCAGGGAGGAAACTTACCTGTTACTCTACAAGCTCAGACTCTCCTGCTTGAAGTCTTGCATGTTTGGGTTTAATGTTCTGCTTTATGAGAGAGGGCTTCTGAAACCTACAGGCTGCACCACAAATACTAGAGTTTCCATGTTTGAACCTCTTTTCTGTCAATAAATGTTGAATCTATTGCAGAAGTTAAATGAAATGAGAAAATGTTATGTTAAAGTGGTTGAAATAAAGGAGGATTTTGGGCAATATTGGCTATATTGTGCCCTAAAAAAACATTTCAAATATTTTTTTAACTCATAAGAGATATAAAAGGAAAACAGAAAATAAGGTAATCCGGCACAGTGGAAGAGCGATCATCAATTGTTCTCATAATCCTTTCCAAACAGAAATCTGAAAAATGTGGCGTGCGTTTAGATTGACCTTCCTCCAACTGTAATACCCCAACATAAACCAACTGGCTACAGAATGCTAAGGATCCACCTGTGATTAACGAACCAAACGACAGGTCAGGGATTGGGTTTCTCACAGAATTCTGTTTAATCCAATCCAACTGCAAATAGAAAATAAATCTAATTACACATGACTGTTCACCATAACTGACAATCTGATAATCATTTTTGGAAAACAGCCAAACAGGACTCTGGAAGAGCCGTAAAGCAATTAAGATCAGATGTTAGAATCTGTCAGTATAATAAATGCAAGACGTGCCATTACTCATCTAGCCTTTATAATTAAGTAACATTAAAAAACACATAAGACCTCTTGTTCAACAACAAACATGCAGAAGAAAGTGAAATGATGAGTTGAAAACACAGTGTGGCTAAGTGGACTTCAGGCTCATCACCCTGCCACGGTGGTGGCGGCATCATGCTATGGGGTGCTTTTTTTCAAAAGGGTCAGAATGAGAAAATCTGCTCAAGACATGAAAGGGTTCAAGAGCCAGAGCTATATAGTTACCCAGAGAAAGTCCAACCTTATTCATAATCTGGGAACTGAAAATCACTGCTTACACTTCATCCAATCCTTCTGAGCTGCAATGGAGAAGTTTCACTTTCTGGATGTGCAAAACTGGCAAAACCTAAAACATTTTTATTTACAGTAAAAGGTCAAATACTGAGAAGGGGTTTAACATAAAGATGTTAAAGGTTTTCTATGATAAGGTTAAAAAAAATAAAAATCCAACTTAGCTCTAAGGTATAAGACCAAATAAAACAATCCAAAGCTTGATATGCATTACATCTTGGAGACAGAAAGAAAAAAAACACGTGCGTTCTTTGCAGATTTCTGGAAACAGTTTGTGTTTGATTGGACCATACCTGGGTCGTGGAAGGGCACCAGGACAAAGTTTCTAATAGGTCTGGTTCTCCGGCTGAGAGTCTTCTCCAGGATCCGCGAGGCCCCCTCAATCACCTGTTTCAGATCGTCGTACATGGAGCCGGTAACATCGAACACAAAGGCCAGCGTTGAAGCGCTGCCACTGGATTCATCCACCTCCTCTAACCGGGGGTCCAACAAAGAGTCTGCCAGGAGTCTGTGCGCACTGACAAGGAGCGCCCACACTACCCACTTCATTAAGGCACCGCACATTTTCATTCCTCCACTATTTACAGCATTTGTCCACCGGATTTAAAACAATCACATAGAAAAATAAAGTAACAAAGAGAAAAATAAAAATAAATCATGCAGATGCAATTTAAACGAGTCTGAAACGGGTCTAAGTGGATAAAAAAGTTTTTTGAGACACCACGACTCGGCTGCAACACATGAAAACCGGGTTTGCACAACTTCCAGTGGAGAACATCCGTGCGTAAAGTTTGAAGGAGCGCGAGGACTGGCTGCGCGCTGGAGAGCCCCAGGAGCGCTGCTGCTGCTGTGACGCTTCAAACCGGGGGCGGGGGTGGCACTAAAAGGTTCGCAAGACCCAACCTGCTGCTTCTTTTTTTTTTTTCCTTTTGTGCGTGTGAGTGTGTGTTTGTAACATGACCCCAGTGGCTTAAACAATCCAACATTGGGCTTGATTTGCTCTGTGAACCGCGTGGGGCCCCTTGTGACATGGTTTTAAACTGATTTCCGCGCATTACAAGTGGGTCTGCAAGCCTATATGTTGGACTCCCTGACAACATTGTCTTAGTAACAGCCTCGTCTTTAAAAATAACCAGGGTTTATATTCAGCTTGACACCAGTCTAATTTTATACACAGTCCACACTGAGAAGTAGCCTCTTAGCAAGTGGAATATAAGAGTTCTCCCATCTCCATCTAGGTAGAGACTTAAGTTAAAAGAAAAACATATTGCAGCCTGTTTTTACTGGTATTTTTTACAGAAGAGGATTAGGGCCAGTGGAAAAAAAAAGTTAACTGATTTTTAAATTTTATTTCAGTTTAGTATGGGAAAAGTCAGAATTCTGACTTTTTTCTCAGAATTCTGACTGTAATCTCAGAATTCTGACTGAATTCTGACAATAAAAAAAGTCAGAATTCTGAGATTAAAGTCAGAATTCTGACTTTTTTCCCATGTTAAACTGAAATAGAATTTAAAAATCAGTTAACTTTTTTTTTTCCAGTGGCCCTAATCCTCTTCCGTACATTGTTAAAGACTATGATGGTAATATTTATTTAATAAAAATAGATAAACCATTAAAACTACCTTTTTCCCAAAAAGCATCTTTGGGATAACCCTAAATTTAGTTACAACTTAATTAACAATTGAACTAAAAACGTTGGATTTCTATATAACATTTTAAAGGTGTTTCTGTGCTCACAGTTCAGACATTTGCTTGTTGTGCTCCTGACTGAAAAAGCTGTCTGGGGACTTTAGAAAGGATTGTGTAGCAGTTTAGAGGCCTGTTAATGGGTTTAAGCATCAGCTGCATGAAAATATTGCACAAGTAGTTAACATTCAGAACTGATGTTACCACCCAGGTCTGAATATTCAAGCAAGTTCAACCCAACAATGATATTTTATGGAAATTGTTCAAAAGTACTCAGCATATAATCTTTACTTAAGACAGAGATTACATAGGTTTACATGTGAAAGGAAGGCAGCAGCGCTCTTAAGACCAGATCAAAATTTTTACTTAAGAATCTGAATTAAAACCAGACCTTATCTGTCTAAATAAAGTAGAGATTAGACTAAATAATTTGGACAACAGAATATTGGACACATTTGGCATAAACCAAATACAGCATTCCAGGAAAACAACGGCATACCAACCATGAGGCAGGGATTGTCATGGTTTGGGAATGATTTATTGCAGTAGGACCTGCTCTGCTCACTGCCATAGCATCCACCATGAATTCTGCCATGAATCAAAAATTAAGGTGGAAATTTATGTAACTATCTGTGATAAAGTTAAAGCTGAAGCAGAAATGGAAGGCTTTTTACTGACAATTCCTGTTAATGTTGACGCTCCTTTATGACAATAGTCATATTTAAAGTAGGCCTACTTTCTTTGTCAGAGATAAACACACAAATAAATAAAAACTATCAACCATCGGCATATTAACATTTGTTTTAACAAAGCTTCTGAGAAGTTTTTCACATGACTGTATAACTGAAAAGATGCATTCGATAGATTTAGCTATTGAAAATGAAATGTGATTTTTCTTTTTACTTCATAAGGAAAAAGGAGAATCATCTTTTTTTTTTTCACAGACAAAAGGTTATAGAAAGCAGAAGCTCTATCACTGTATAACTGGTTTAAATCTAATCCGTTTACAGTAGCAGCCATTCAAAATGGCCCTTCTCAGTCAAATACCAGCTGAATGGCAGCCCACTTCCCTCCAACTCCCAATGAAATCCCCTCCAACTTCCAGCCCCTGGAGTGACCTCCTGCATATTGTTTTACTCTGACTCCATCCTTTCACTGAATTACAGGGTCTGACCAGGAGATTACGCTTCTCTTTAGATCTTAACCCCTTGAAGCCTGAATTGATGTACATGTACATATAAAAATACATTTTGTGCATGTTTTTATCTTCAATGAGATGCCAAATTAAAATAGTTAATGTTACTAAATAAATAGAAATGAAGTTAAAGTAAATTTTTTGTAACAGCAGTTATAACTACATAATAACATAGACTGTGACTAGCACTGGGGTGATGCAAAAACGCTATGACAGCTGTTTGCCTACACTGCAAAAATGCTCTGAAAATGAGTAAAAATGTCTTAAATTAAGTGTATTTACCCTTAATATGAGTAGGTAAATAAGATGATCTGCCAAATTGCTCTTATTTTAAGAAAAATTGACTTACTTAATTACAATTTTTGCTGTTTAATGCAAGCGGTTTGTTGCTTATTAGCAACAACCGGCATGAAAGGGTTAATGTCCACAAATCATGACAGAATGAATATTTTAGTACAAAGATTTACGTATAAAAAGGAATTGTAGGGGACCAGCCAAGGGCCCATAAAGGAAAGTTGGGAAATTTTGATAAGCTACTACTGTAAGTATCTTAGATTTTTGAACAAGACCTGATTGAAGAGGTACAAATAGCTTTAAGCCTATAATGAAGCTATTTTCCAATCTACTATATGCCAGTGTACTGAAAACCCCTTATAAGGGTCTATAAATGAGGCAAAGGGGGTATTTTGTACCATCCAATCCTTTTATGCATATATATATATATATATATATATATATATATATATATATATATATATATATATATATATATATGTGTGT